ATGATCTTGATAAGGTGGTACAGATGGTTGGCATTTTCTTCTGTGCAGCAGGATCCACCCAGCAGTTGCTTTTTGTATGTTGTGTGACTTTATGCACACAAGCACGTCCCCAGGGCTTAGAGAAACTGCTTGCAGGTCAGGGTTTCCTGTAGCTGTGTTTGAAGTTACTGATACACTGCAGCACAGCTCAGTAATCAAGACCTCAGCTTTAGTTTGCCCCCATCAGCTTTGTTTCTTGTGCTGCCCATGTGTGTATGACTTGCAGTAACTTACATGATCATTTCTTCAGATGCATTTAGAAATCCCCTCGGATTCTCAGCTTTTCCTCCTTCTACGGTGATAAAAAACTCAAAGACAATTCAAAATTCCTAGTACAGACCCAGCAAACTGCCAGGCTGAATTAATCTCTTGTAAATAAACATGCTGTCAGTTCTCTTTCTTCCAGAAACAACCTAAAGAAGAAAAAAAACCCCAAATTTAATTAGGGAGTGCCTGGATTGCAGCTCCCATCTGGCTGCCTGGGAGCAGAGGTTGCTTTGTGCACCTGAGGCTGGACAGGCTTTAAGGAAGTTTCAGCTGGAGACTTGGGAAACCTTTCCTTTGCCATGTTAAGCAGCAGGGAACAAAACTGCAACAACCAATAATGCCTGCACGGCCAGAGTGTCCCATCTGTCATCCTGGCATGCTGAGTTTAGGAGTCATCTACTTCAAACACACTTTTGTCCCCATGGCTGTCTGCCTGCCACTGTGTCTAGCTTGTATCAAACTGCTAATGAGCTTCATTCACTCAGAGCTCATTTAGAGCTCATGTAATAAATACCTCTGAAGTGAAATATCATTAAACCTCTATGAATATAAGATCATATACCATTGGATGTGATGAAGCTTCTCTTAACTTTTGTCAAGAGGAGAGGTATTTGCATTTATGTTATGCTGTGATATTTATTTGCAGCTGACCTGGTATTGTGCCTGCTTGGGTTTGCCCAGCCTGGAGAACAACTCCAGGGCTATTCCTTGACAACTGTCGCTATAGGTGGCTCTAAACTTGAGGCCTGAGGATAGAGATTCAGAAAGCAATAAAGATGGAATTACTCTGAACTCTCTCCAGAGAGTGGGATGAAAAGGGGAAGTCACTGCAAATCCATGCTCATTTCACAGACAGCAAAGCCAAAGATGAAGTTTCTCTAAAGGGTTGCATACCCTTTCCAGACAGCTGTGTAAGTTATCTTTGGCACTGACTGGAGAGGGAAGGTTGCTGCCTGGAGGAAACCAGGAAACAATAATGAAGGTCTGTCTAAATGTTAAAAGTCACTTTGTCTCAAAACTGTTTGGCATATTAACCCATTCCCCCTTTCCTCCTTGAAGAAACAGGTGCTGATTTGTTAAGCAGTTAGCCAAATAATCTCAGTTTGCTTTTCCCCTCAAAGTTTGTCTAGAGTAAGGTGTGGCTGTGCACAGTTCCCAGGCCTGCCATTGTCCAGAGCACCACTCCTGCCACTGCAGTGCCAGCCCGGTGCCACCACGTCAGCACCATCCAAGGAGGAGGAATCTTCACTGACAAGTGCCAGCCAGCCCCTGTGACCTGCCACAGGCAGTGGCAACGGGGACCAAAGCTTGAGTGATCCTCTCCAAGCTGTGAAAAATGTCATGGCACCATTTTGTGATGGTGAAATCTGCAGTAAGTTCCTTTGATTACGGGGGGGAAAAAAAAATAGATACCCCAAACTTCTCTGCTCACAACTATGCTGGAAACAGAGACTGGCTGACCTGTGCTTACAGCATTCCAGTTTCTGACTCAGAACAGTGAGAGAGGCTGTCACACACCACCCCGTGCTGGCTCTCACCCCAGCATGGGGCACAGCATCAGGAAGAGTGCAGGGAGCAGGCAGGATGTGGGAGCAGGCAGGGTACAACCTGGGCATGGGTTCTCAAGTGGGTGGGTGCTGCTCCCCCGTTCTGTTTTCCTCCAGCCAACACAGGAATCTCCTCCTTCATCCCCATGTCTCTGCTGTGATGTGGAGAGTGAAGGAGAGCCAGCTTCCAAAAGTTTCCACCCTCTCAAAAGGTCATGAGCCCATTGTTAACACTCCAAGTCAGGGTGAGGGAGGAGCTGGAGCAGAGCTGAAGGGGCAGGAGTGTGTGGACTGAGTTTGGCTAAGGCTGTAGGTAACTGGCTGCTGACTAGTGTTTATTTGCTAGTGTACGCTCATTTTTGGACCATTTTGCACATGCACAGCATGAAATAGGTAGATGTGCTGCAGAAATATTAATTGATAAGAAGTGCAGATGTGCTCCCTGCTTTTTGAGAGTGCTTCAGGTCACAACACAACATGCTGTGCATAAAATAAGCTGCACTGGCAGCACACTCAAATTTGGATGTCACTTCATTGTGCTATTTCTGATGTTATGAACAGTGTTCAAAGAGCCATTTGTGAGGATTTGGATGCATTAGCCCTGTTAAAGGGAATGAAATTCGCACACATCCTGGGGACACAGCATGGGCCTTACATGCTCTTTATTCCACACTGAAGTGGAGAAGAACCTGGGTGAGTGCTGCCTATTCAAACAAGGAGGATTTTGTTTGTGAGTGTCCTGTTTTCACCTGGCTCCCATGGACAACAGCAGATTTAACGGTTTTGGTGCTGCTGTTGCTTTGAGAATAAATAAATCAATATGTAAATTGATAAATTAATTTTTTTAAATTCCATTTTTAGAAAAGATTAAATTTGTTTCTTCAGATCAATTGCACTGTGAGAGGATGAGTGTTTTGAATTTAAAATGTTGAGAGAGCAGTAGAGAATGTATGTTGTGCTTGATAAATGTGCTCTCCTGACTGCTGGGAGAGAGTGAGATAGATCCACATGTCAGAAAACAAGATAAAGCACAGCATCTGCTCTTCCACCTCCGAGTGCTTGTGGGAGTTCTTTCCTGTTTCCTTATTTCCCCATCTATAAATCTAAAATAACAAAGACCTCCCCCACTGGAAGTGGTGTCAGCAATTCATGACCATACAACATTAAAACCTGGCAGGGAAGTGCACTAGGAGAGCAAAAATTATTCACTCCATAAATTATAGGAACATGTCTAAACAAGGTGATAGACAGCAAAAATCACTACATATTCTCCTGTCTCCTAATTACCTGGGTGCATGCCTTCTTTTGGTTATCCCTGACTAAGAAAGGGTTTGAAACACTGGCATTTCAGGGGTGGCATGAAATCTGGAAAAGCCTTTGGAAATTAGGATTGAGCAATGGCTCCGCACTTGTGGCTGTGGTTATGGGCTGTTGAATCAGGTGATCACTGCCAGATGCCCATGAGCCTCAGCCAGGATGTGCCCTTTGCATGAAAGGTGCAGGTATGTGCCCATGACCATTTGCACTCTGTGTTGGTGCCTTATAGGGCTCACACTGTGGGATCACAATGATTTTCTAGACTAAGCATCAGTCAGCAGACTGAGAGAAGAGCTCTACCCATGCTGGGTTGACGAAAAGTCAGGTTTTGGGAGAGATCAGCTATCCCAGAGCAACAAGAGGATTGCAAGGAGCTGGAAAGACTTTTTTAGGTGTCAAGCCTGCTAGGCTGTCTTTGAAATACTTGTTGTAATGAGTTTGGGATTTTGTTACACTGTTGATTATTTCTAGTTGCCTACACAAAGCTGTTATTTTGCTTAGGGCTTAAATCAGGGCCTGGTTTATATAACAGTAATTTTAGTTGGGGTTTTGATGGCAAATACACATTTTCATTCTAGATGAGGGTAGAAAACTACTCTGATGTTGGGTAGAATTGTCCCCTGGGCCACCTGGCAGATAGCTCTGACTCGAGTAAAATGGAGAAGCTGTATGGCATCTCTGATCTGCAGAGAGAAGAGGTGTCCTTAAGGCTGCTCAGCATCTCTCCTGTGATTGTTCCTAAAATGTTCTCCTCAGCTATATGCTAGTCATACAGTACTACTGAACTCCCTGGCTTTCTGCATTCCCATGACGCTGGTAACTAGTCAACTGCCCTGGACAAAATGTAGCAATAAATCAATTGTCAGACTCCTCTAAAGTGAGCGAACTGTTATAAAGCTCAAGCTGCTGCAAGGGCTGGTTGACCTACAAGAAGATTAGAACTGAGGATCAGATGCTGAAGATCACCAGATGTGCAAAAAGCTTTTACAAGTGGACAAAATTATTCCTGTGCTGTGTGGGCAGTGTCCAAGCCGAGTCAAAGTGCTGCACATCAAACAAAAGGCACAATGAGACTGAGAAGAAAGCAGCAGTGTTCTGGAGGACATAGCAGAGTAAAAAGACATCTGCACCCCCAAGTTTTAGGGGTTTGAGTTCAGAGGTACTGCCTGAAGACAGAAACACTGCAAATCCAGTACCTTTAAGCACCTCCTGCTCTGGCCTCCCCTCACAAGGAGCCTCTCTCCTGGGGCCCAGCAAGACCTTGTGTTCGTGCTGAGGCACTTGGTTAAATCCTTCCATCTTTGCTGGTTGTTAGGGAAGCACCCTCTTAGTTATGTCACACATAATGTTTAATATGTTTTTAAAAAAAACCCAGTATTTTGTTCATTCTGTCTAGGGTATCATGTCTAAAGGCTATTTTGGTTTCTTGGAGAGGAACAGAACCACAGCCAAGTCTCTCTGGGGTCTAAAGAGTTTTAAAGCTAAGAGGGTCCACCACAACCTCTTCATCAGACCTCCTTCATGTGAACGATTTAAATCGCAGCCACTGCCTCGATTTTTGTCTTCTCACCAGTAGAAATGTAGTGCTTGATGCCACATCGGCCACCAACAGGCTTCAGAGTCAACAGTGCTACTGATGAGAATCCCATCCCGTGCGGAAAGCGCGGTAAGAATGGCAAGTTTGGGTCGTACCCGGGACGTTTCCCCAGCCCGCGGCGGCTGCGGGAGCGCCTGAGGCGATTCCCATTCCCGCGCTCCCCGCGGGCCGCCGCCCCGCCCCGCCGCGCTCCGCCCCCGGGGCCGCCCCAGGTACCGGCGGGGGGGCGGCTCCCGCCACGCGAGCAGCGGCCGTGGGACCGCTCGGCTCGCTTCAGTTCAGTTCGGCTCGCTTCGGTTTGCTTCGGCTCGTCCCGGCTCGGCGCCGCCGCTTCTCCGCCGCAGGTAAGAGCCGCAGCCCCTCTGAGGGGGCTCCTCCCGCGCCGTCGGGGCTGCTTCCCCTCGAAGGTGGCGGGGATGGGGCTGGCGGTGTTCCGCGCCTCACGTCCCCACCGGGACCCACAAACTCCTCCTGCCCTCCTCGCCCCGAGGGTCGGGGCTGTCTCCGGGTTCCGCGGGACGGGAAGCAGGAGGTGCCCCGCGGGTGAGCTCCGTGCCCCGAGGTGTGGTGTGGTGTAACGGGCAGCCCTCGGGAGCGGCGGGGGCGGAGAGGGCAACAGCAGTTCCATCTCTAAAATAAACATTTCCCAGCAGTGAGAGGCGATATAATATTGCCTTATCTCTAAAATACCCTCAGCCTCGCGGGAGGGGGGAGGCCGGAGAGCGGGGCCTTCCCGGCTGTTCTCCAGCTGGTGCGTAACCCGCCCGTTCCCGTCACCCCGGGCCGTGCCCGGCTCGGGGAGAGGGAACAGGTGACAACAACCCAACTGCTCGGCGGTGGAGCACGGCCGCGAGCCGCGACAGCAGCCGCTGTCGTCGTGGCTGCTCGGGCGGGGCAGGGCAGGGTCCCGCTGCTGCCTGCACAGCCCGCCCGAGCCGGAGGAGCGGACTTGCCCGTACCCACACCGCCCGTATAGCCCCGGGCAGCGAGCCCACCGCACCGAACCGAACGGATCCATCTTCTGATTTAGTTCATAAAAAGTACAAACTTTCCAGTTTGTCCATGCAAAACGCATGTGGGTTTATTTTATTTTATTTCTTTTGTTTTGTTTTTGCCATGCGTTCTGGGACGACGCGTTGGTTTTCTTCCCCGTGTTTTCCCGGCGCTCGGCAGCGGCCCGGCCGTGCCGGGGTGTGCGCGTTGGGACCGCAGCGGCATCGCCAGCCCCGGCACCTGTGGCTCCACCTTTCTTTGCCTCCCAAGGTTCTCTGTCTACGCTGTCCTTTCCTTCCTACAAGCAACGACGTGTTCTGGGCTTGTGCAGTGCATCAGGTTGATCTGACCTAAATTAAGTGTAACTTGTCAAAAAAAAAAACCCCAAAAAACCAACCAAACTGGAGAGAATAATTTTAATGTGTATTTTCCCATGTCCTGAGATAATAGAAGATCAGGCTCTCAGAACATGTTTCTGTGAAATTCTTTGGTGGCAAATCTGGTTTTGACTTCTCCTGCTTTGTTTCTTATTCCTCACCCAGTGCTGCACTCTTAGTTGTGCAAATAGTAGTTTGCAGGGCTTCAGAGTTGCCTGGATTAGCTCTGGGTTCAAATAACATTCTCTTGTGAACGTTTTTTCTTTTTCCCCTCCAAAGGTAAAAATGTCACTGGAACTATAATTTTGATCTGTGTGTTTGTAACTGTACTCAGATCATGGGAGCACTGGTATTTGGTTATAGAGGGTACAAAATTGAATCAATACACTGCTGTATGGAAGTGTGTAACTAAAAGGCTTTTATTTCCTGTTATTTGTGCTTGCTATCCTGGAGGTGGTTGCATATGCATTTACTGGGACTTCACTGCCTTCAGGACAGTTTTATCAGAACAATTTATAGTATAAGTCAGAAGAGAGGCAAATAAACCAAATTAAAATCAAGATTCCTTTGTAATTTTGACAAAACTGTGGTGCCCTCTTTGCAGACCCAATATATTTTCAGGTGACAAAGTGAGAAGACTTAGCAGCTTTAGGTTTTAATAGCAGTATTCTTGTGTGTAGCAAAGCAATGCATTTAGTATTTGTTAACATGATGGTTGTTGTGCAGTAGTTATGTTAGCTACGTAGTTCAGAGATGGTTTTTCCTGCCTTCATTTTCATATGTTTTCATGCAGCTCCAGATTAAAACGTGCAGGTCACAGCATCACAGTTCAGGGTCTTGCATCATGCCAGCTGGTTGTGGTGCCAGGGAAGGGCTTCATGTCCACTTTGCCCTCCTCAGTAGGTACATGTCTATTTTTTGTTACTGGTTGGGCTGAAGAAGTAGGGTTTTTGAGGCAGTTCTCAGAGCTAAGGCTGAGAAATGTCCTGAACTGGTCATTTCAGGTATGCTTTTTGCTGTAAAAATGTATCTTGTGCATCAGGTTCTGCATATTTATTGACCTCCTGGAAATGTGTGTTTAGCTTAGTGCAGTAGTGTTTGATATTTGAAATAAGATTTATGTTTGGAAGTATTAGCTCATTAAAAATGGAAGTATGAGGGTGCTTGTTGTAATCCCAGTTAGCAGGTGGCTTGCTTTGCAGCATGGGAGAACATCATGGCATAGAGAAATGAATTAACTTATTCATCACAGATTTTCTGCTTGGAAGAGGAGGATAAAAGGCAGCAAATTAGACTTCTGCACTGCAGAGGCATCCTGAGCTGGCCCTGTCTCTGTGTGATTCTGGTTTGCAGGTGGTTTCTACAAGACAATTCCAGTTTCTGGTCACTTGATTTGGTGAAGACAGCAGCTTGTTTTTACCTGTAAGTGAATGATTTTAGACCCAGTGGTGCAGAAAAATCTGTAACTGTCTCCTGCTCTTTGGTGGAGGGGTGTCTACCTGAATCTGCATATGACCTCACTCTAGCTCCAGATAGGGTGGGTGCCATCATATGCCTGAACTTCCCTTATCTTCCATCACTGTGGGAGGGCATGGTCATGGCTTTCCCCATGGAGAGCTGTATCCCAGGGCAGAATGTAGCCATGCCCTGCCTTCCAGCTGGGGATGGATCAGCAGGGACTCACACGTGTGTTGTAGCAGAGCTGGTACAGATCCATCTTGTGTGTTGCTCTGGGTGCTTTCATGTCACTGCTCCTTCGGTGTATTCAGCAGTGAGGTGCAAGGAAGTGCTTCACTATTGCCAGTTCCTTCCTGAGAAAGAGAGGCAGAGCTGCAAGGCTGGAGATCCGATGAGGAGGGGACTGAATTCCGGATTTCTGTTGTCTTGGCCATTGCTGCAGTGTTGTGACAGGAAGGAAGGGCTTTGAGGGTGGTGAGTTTGGTAACAGCCATCAGCCTCGTCAGTGTGCACTGTTCACTGGGGCAGGGCTGGATTCGGGTCAGCCTCAGCTTGCAGTTCTGTAGCACTAAAAATTGGCTGGCTCCAGGATTCCTAAATTCAACAGAATATTCAAGGAATTGTGGAAATCTCTGCATCCCCTCTTTAGGGCATAGGGAAGGTAAAAATCCCCTCTTTCTTGCATCCTCTGGGAGAGAGCTGAGCTGGGTTCAGTTAGTGGGTCCCCTTTACCAGGGGAGGTTTTTTTACTGTTACATATTTTTCTCTGTATTTTCTGGAGTAGTGTGCTTGCCAACAGACATGGAACCTTGTGGTAGTAAGAGAGTGGCAAACACTTAATGCTCATAGAAGAGAGTAGAAAAGTGGAAACTTCTATTTCTTTAATTTTTTGTTGTTGTTGTTATATTAGAGGGACTAATTCCTCCTTCCTGAGGATTTTATTGTGGCTCTGAAATGGACTTCGAGGATGTTGAATGTTGTGCAGGAAATGGGAGAGGCATGGCTTGATGTTTGACTGCAGGAAATCTTTCTAACAGTCCAACCAAATGTTGTTGTAAAGTTAGATGGCAAAAACGTGGTACCTGCTGGTTCTTGACTCATGTTCCACACCCAGCAAGTTCTTAAAAATCCTTTAAAAGCTGTTTTTAAAGCCTGTGTTCCCAAATCTGAATGGGTAATGAAAATAAATAACCACTGACATTGCTTACAGGTTTTCATCCTTTAGTTGTCATATATTGACATATATGTCATATATTGGACTTTTTTTAGCATGTATGTTCCCAAAAAAATCCACTACAAGCATCTTCTCGTAAAGACTTCTGGACTCATTAATAAATGAATTCTATTAAAGATGAAGAGCTCACATTTTTAATGTAATAATCATAGACTTTCTGTGTAGAGAGTTGTTTTTGTTCTAGATCTGTCAGTTGAGTGGCATTTAGGTGACACCCCAAAGTCAGGTTCTGGACAGTACTGAAGAGTGAGCCAGAGGCTGTCACAGGGAGCAGCTGTTGCAGAGGGCAGGGCTGCAGGAGCAGGAGGAAATGTAACCGAAAAATGTGCAATACTTTGGGCAAGACCAAGCTGCTGTGGTGTTGCCAAGCGAGGTGATTGTCAATTGTGTGGATCCTGAGAAAGGATTTGTCTTTGATCCAAATTCCGGCCTGGAGTAGGTGGCTGCAGCCTGTTATTTACATCAGGTCTGAGTGTGCCCAGGTGTTTTGGCAGTCTCCACAAGGGAAGATAATGTAAGTCAGGATGACAAATGGTGCTGTACCCTGGCTTACTGGAAGGAAAATGCACCAGACACAAACTTGGCCTTTACATTGTATTAGCCATGAAAAAGACAACTATGTTCTGTTACGTTTTTCTGCTCTAAATCTGGAATAATTATTACTTTAAGGCAGATATTTTTGTGTAGATGTGCTATAAGTTGCAGATGTCCTATTGCAGTTGTCTTTGCAGCGTGGTAGACTTTGATCCAGGCTTTGTGCAAAACACCTTGTGTACAGAGGGATTTCAGCTGCTTCTTGGTTCCGTTTGCTTTGCTGCCTTTCTTCAGGAAATGTGTAATGATTCCTATCCAAGGTTTTCCATCCACTTGTGAGATTTATCTGGAACTTTAATTTTAGATTAGTAGAGATAATCTCCCTTTAATAAACTTTAAACTGATGGCTTCGAATGTTTGCTGTTATCCTAATATCTGTCACTAACTCAAACACTGTTTCTGTTCTCTTTGTACACTACAGGACTTTCCTCTTTACCTTCAGTGGAGGAAGCTCAGACCTTACACAGCACTTGTTCCCAGCCTAACCTGCCTACCCATTATTCCCTTACCTAATATTCTTATTATTCATCTTCATCATAATCATTGTTACCCTTTTGCTTCTACATCGCAGGTTCAACAGTGTGACCACTCTCTTGATTCATATACTCACAGCAAAGCCTTCATCTCTCTCATGGATTATAGATCTAAATTGGTAACTATCGCTTGCTTGCAATGTTTATTAGCAGTT